CCCATGGTAGATCCAGCTCACTTTGGCTTGGGACAGCCACTTATTTCCGCCAACTTGAATTCCTCTATAGCACTTGGAACCTCCATGGGGTTTTCTGGGGATGGCTATAGTGACCTGGGAAATCCCTGCTCTTGAAGGAAGCCTGGTGAAAACATTCTTAGGGCCATGGTAGAGCCTACCCAGGGCCTCCTGCAGGTCTTAGGCAGATGGAGCAGGAGGGTGTGTGGAGGGTGGGGTAGGGATATGGGTACCAGGATCCAGGCCTACTTCTGCCTTCATACTTTGCACATTAGAGCACAGAAAACGGCTTTCAATGGCTATGCCATCTTCACAGAATGACTGAGAGATGATGAGCATTTGAGGTTCTCTGAGCAACCGGGGAATAAAACCTGTTTGTTAAAAGGTTGTGGTAGGGTTTTAAAGGTAATCTCCAATATTCTCAGCTAGTGAGCTGAGATAGAAGAATAACTTACGTTCCACCAGAGAGAACCAAAAACTTGAATGAATGTAGAGCCTGCATGCAGTAATATTGTATTGGGTATTAGATACTACAAACACTTTCATTTGATCTCATTTGATTTTCACAACAGCCCTGTGAGAGGGAGCATAACACCCATTCATACATGAGAAAACAGTCTCAGAAACATGGCATCTTGCTCAGTGTCAACAATGCTTTCAGCCCCAGGCCTTCTCTTCCCCTTCTTGGCCAGAGCTGGATTCTGAAATTCCCTTAAACATGAAGGGCCTTTTCCCATTGTCCCCTTGAGGGAGCTTCCCTGAGAGCAACTACCTCAGAGGGCTCAGGGCTGTTGAGCCAAGGGTTCCTGGGGTGCAGTGGGGACCAGGGCACCTGGGATTCCTCACGACCATGGACTTTGTGTTTTGCCATCAGTCACCTGCAGAATTCAAGTCATGCGGGAGCTTTTGTGATTGTGAGTGAAGAAGCTATCGCCAAGGGCATCCGGAGGATTGTGGCTGTCACAGGCACTGAAGCCCACAAGGTGAGCAGATCAGGCTGGTTCACAGCTTAATTTGAACAAGGCAAGAGGCGCTTGATCTGCAAATCCATACTGCAGATGGTTATGTGGCTGCTGTAGTCAGAAGCAGAAGTACAGGGCTGCCCCCCAAATGTCCCCCAGCTACCCCTATATGGCAGAAGAAAGCCTCCAGTGCAGAATACTTTATAGCTATCTTATGTTTAATCTTTAAAAATATATGTAAGTCCTGCTTTTTACCTACTAATATATCTGTGTCTAGGAGGGTAAGCCATAGTTTTGCTGTGACGTCCAGTGCCCCCAGCATTTACCCATGTCTCCCTGGGGGTATGTGCCTAGTTTGAGATGGGAACAGCTGCTTGGGTGGGGGACTGTAGCTTGTGCCTGATGTGTGCTGAAGCCTGATGGGGTGAGAAAGGCTCTGACTCGTGAGTTCTTGGTTACCCCTGAACCTGAGTTAGTGCAGCCTTTCTTTCGGCCAGGCATTTAAGAACGGTGCTCCTTTTTGGGTCAAGAGGCTGCAAACACTTGCTCCCTGAAGGAAGAGAAGCTTCCGGTATCCTAGGAATGTGTTGTTCCAGAGCCTGCCATCAGTTTGGGCCACAGTTTACAGACAGAATAGTGAAGCTGAAAGTTACCTGGAGTTTATAACTCTGATTGTCCCCCTCCCAGGCCCTCAGGAAAGCAGAGAGCTTGAAGAAATCTCTCTCTGTCATGGAGGCCAAAGTGAAGGCCCAGACTGCTCCAAACAAGGATGTGCAGAGGGAGATCGCTGACCTCGGTGAGGTAGGGTGGCTTTCCTTTCTCCTAAGGACCTGCTCAGTGCTGGATCCCAGCTAGGCCTGATGAATCAGACACACCCTGCTCTTGAAGAACCCTCAAGTCTTGGTTCTCAGTGCAGTGGGCCTTTGGACTAACTGTTGTTGCCATGCAGCTTTGCAATAGGGAGTCCATGGATCCTGGCCCACCGACCCCTGGAACCTGCCTGCTGCCCCCATTCCCAGTAGCAGGGGAGCCCGTCCCAAGCATAAGTGGGTACTGGTGTTGAGGGAGTTGCTGTGGGTTCCCAATTTCTAGGCCTTGTGGTGTTTGTTAATATTCAGGGACTTCCAGTAAGCCCTTCACAGGCTGTGTTCACTGCCTGGTAAGGGACCATATCTCACAGGGTTCCCATCTTTTTATTCTGTCTCTTTCTCTCCAGCCCTGCTCATTAAAACTGCTGTAGTTACTCATAAAATGACTGGTCTCAAGGCCAGTGGATACCTTTTTGTTTTTTCTCTCCTTCTGGACACTAATCAGGGAGGACTTTAGTGTTCAATGCCAGAAGAGCGGGGTGGGCTGAACTGGGCTAGAGCCTCACATCCTAGCTCCTTGTGGTCCATATCTGAAAGGTTTTCTGGTTCTGGTTTCAGGCCCTGGCCACTGCAGTCATCCCCCAGTGGCAAAAGGATGAATTCCGGGAGAATCTCAAGTCCCTGAAGAAGATCATGGATGACCTAGACCGGGCTAGCAAAGCCGATGTCCAGAAGCGAGTGAGTGTTGGTGGTTGGAAGGGAACCAAGAGGATTTACCCAGAAAAATCTGCAGACTGCTGTTTGGGTTTCAGCTGGGCCTTGGACCTGAGACCTCTCTTCTGGACTTCCTTCCTTGCAGGTGTTGGAGAAGACAAAGCAGCTCATTGACAGCAACCCCAACCAGCCCCTTGTCATCCTGGAGATGGAGAGCGGTGCATCAGCCAAGGCAACCCAGGGGCTGGGGCTCCAGGGGCTAGGGCTCCAGGCATTGCTGTGGGCCTCTCTGCTGCTTGAGAGGTGTCTCGGAGGCTCATCAGCCCTCTGGTGGCTGAAGTCTGAGCTTTGTGGCTTTGAGTGGAGTGGTCACCTGAGGGCCCACTCTCTGGGATTGAGGTTAGGCTGAGCCATGGAGAGATCTAGTGGCTGGAGAGCTGTGGCTCCTGGAGATGGGAGGCAAACCTTAGAGAAGCAGAGTGTGATCGGGCCCTGTGCTTGTGTCCTTTTTCGTGCAGGCTCCTAGAACCAGCTTTCTAAGAGGGGGGTAGGGGTGGGGGGCAGGGAGTACTCTGAGAACTGAGCTCTGCAAACTCACTGCACTTATGGAGAGCATGGTCCCTCCCCCAGGGCCATGACCTGATACCAGGTTCTCCCACAGGCCCTGAATGAAGCCTTGAAGCTCTTCAAGACACATTCCCCACAGACATCGGCCATGCTCTTCACAGTGGATAATGAGGCTGGCAAGATCACATGTTTGTGTCAAGTTCCCCAGGTCAGAATACCCTGCAGCCCTGTGCCAGTGGGAACTGGTGTCTGTAGCTTTTCTGAGGGAGCCCAGGTCTTCTTACAGTTGTTTGCCCAACCCCCATGTGTGTTTGTGCAACCCCCTTTAGAAATGGCACTTCTGCCCACCTGTTCGTCACCTCCAGCACCCCTTACCCTCAGGCCCTCTCCTTGGTGGATGTGTTTAACTGTGCTGCCTGATACCTGGCTTTCTCACTCAGTATGCCTTGTCCTAACCATGGTACCAGGTGTAGGGTCTGCCTCAGCCTCTGGCAGCATCACCCAGGGCAGGAGTGGGTATCTGTGGTTCCCCCATCCTTTTTCTTTCCCTCCCTTCTCCATGCCTCCCTCAGTCCCATCCTCTGTCCTGATTCCCACTTCACCTTCCTGTCTTCCAGAATGCAGCCAACCGGGGCCTGAAAGCCAGTGAGTGGGTGCAGCAGGTGTCAGGCCTGATGGATGGCAAAGGAGGTGGCAAAGATGTGTCTGCTCAGGCCACAGGCAAGAACGTGGGCTGCCTGCAGGAGGCCCTGCAGCTGGCCACTTCCTTTGCCCAGCTCCGCCTGGGAGATGTGAAGAATTGAGGGGAGGGGTGGCTTCCACTCGGAAGCATCTCCCCATACCCGGATGTATCTGTCTAGCCAGGAGGTCGCCATCTGCCACACGGACATTTGAATCTTGGGACCTTTAAATAACCCCATCTCTCCTTCTAACCCAGCAGTAACTGGAACTCACTTGGGTGCCAGTCTGTGACTCAATGCCCACGTTACATTTCTGCCTGGAGCCCTACACCACAGCACTATCTGTATAGAACCACTATCCCAGGATTGCTATTTATCATCGTCATGCTCATGTCTATAGATAGTTCTCTGCGGACCTAAGGCTCTGGGTCAGCAGGAAGGAATCATTTTTGCTGCAGAGAATAAAAGGACCATGTGCAATACTTGATGATGATACCCTGTGATTTCTATTACTACCTCTCCCCCACAATACGTGCACCCTGTGTGACAGCCTAAGGCTCCCTGGTGAAGAATAAATACTGTGGCTCTGGTTACAGCCCTTGCAGAGTCCAGCCCCAGCCTCCTGAATTTTGGGAATGGACCCCTAGGATAGCCTCAGATGTTTGTGGAGGTTGCCCACAGAACAGAGCAGGAGTGAGATGGAGAGGCATTAATCAATAGAAGATCACAGGTACTGGAAGCAGAGAGAAGCTCCTTCCTTGGGGCCTCTTGTGGGAGAAACTCCCTACTTCTTTGTCTCATGTCCCTCTTTCCTTCCCCTTTGAGGTGTTCTCTGATACAGGAGGTATTTAGGGTATATCAGTTGCCTCCTTCCTTTGCCCCATCATTCCTGTTTCCTTGACCCAAAGGTGGACAATGAGCATGGAGACCCTACCTGGCCCTGAACCAGTTCACCCAAGCCTTGATGAAGACAGCTGGGTCTGGAAACTAGTGTGCTGGGAGGTTAAAGGTACTGCTTACCTATGGTGGCTTCAGCTGATTTCGTGCCCCCTGGGTATAGCAGACTGGCTGACAGGGAGGAAGGAGAAAAAGCAGGTCTGTGCTTAGAAGAGCAGCAGAGGCCAACTGTCAGGGAGAGAGAGGGTGCTGAAGCCTTGAATTGAAGCACATACCAGGTGAGGAGTGTTGGGAATACAAAGAGTTTACACAATCCAGGGCAGCAGAAAGATAATTCTAGTCATTCAACAAGCGTTTATGGCAGCCAGAATTCTGAGGGTACAGGACTGACCAAGACAAAATCATTGCTCTCTTGGGTAAGGCAGTGGGGAACACATAAAACAGTCACAGTAATAAGTGTAGAATTAAAATAATTACAATCTTCACAAGTGAAAGGAAGGAGACATACGCCCTGGGATTGCCTTTGTCTGGAAATTAGCGGGGCTAGCTCACGTCCCATTTACGGAGGCCTGCCAGGTGAGTCCACCCATGGAGCCTTGGACAGCCTCTGCTGAGGCCCCAGGGCTGTGCAGAGCTCACCGTTCGCCCTCCAGGAGGGTAGGGGGCGGGGCGGCGCCGCTCGCCACTATCCCGACAGCCCTCGCGAGGGCGCACGGCGGAAGCGGCTCGCACGCCAAGCGCCGCCATGCCCGGGGATCACCGCCGCATCCGCGGGCCAGAGGAGTCTCAGCCGCCGCAGCTGTACGCGGCAGACGAGGAGGAAGTGCCCGACGCCCGCGACCCCACGCGGCTGC